CCTTGTTCCAAACACTGTACTGATAGTTAAATGAAGCTGTGAATCAGAATGCTGTAGTCTTGCTGAGCAGTATTGATACACTGAGAGCACATTTATGTTTGAAGCTGAGGTTGCTTTCTCTGGAGAGATAGATGTGTTTGTGTTTACCTCTGTTTAATTTTGTTTGCTGTTTTTATTGTCCAGTTAATCTCAGAAGGGTCTTTGTGCTTCCATGGACTCTCTGTTATCCTTGGTGTCTTAAATTACCTGCTAGCCTCGGCAAACTTTCGAGTCACTAAAACTGATGTCTTGGTCTTAAGCAATAAAAGAAATGCACTATTTGCTGTGGGCTGCTGGAATCCAGTGGTTTATATATCATGTTTTTGGAATTATTGAGTAAGAGACATTGTTGTAGAGTGCTTGTGCAGCTTGCAGGCTGAAAGTTAAAAGTGTAGAGAGCTGTGTTTCTTTCTAGATAGCATATTTCATATTCCAGATATGAAGTTTTTTGGTGTCTGTGCTGTGTCTCTGCAGAGACTTGGGAAAGTTCTGTATCTGTGTTTTACAGGGGCTTGATGAGGCTGTATTTTATAATCTCTTTGCTTTTCTGCCTTTTGGGACTGTAAAAGTGACCTGAAAACGTCATTCCCTAATTATTTGGGCAAAGTTGTCAGCCTAAATATATCAAAACCAAAGAATTTGCGCAAATGGAGAGGGAAAGTGTCCTGACTATTGCTCTTAGATGTGAGTGATTTCTTCTGTAACTTGGGTATTTGATTTTCCAAAAGTGATCAGTATCCTCAGATTTCAAGGATTGCTTGCTTCTATTTTTTTAATGTCTTAAAAGATAATTCTAAGATTATTTATAATTTTATTAATAATTCACAATTTTTACTAGGTAGAACTGTGTAATGCCTCTCAATACTTTTGTTGCTTAACCCTCTATTGTCTTCCAGGCACAGGAAACTATATTCTGTACTCTTGTAACTACTACTCTTTACTTTTGTGACAGCAATAGTAGCATAAACAAGCATATTAAATAATGGATGAGATGAAAATAATCACAGTAAGGAATCATCCCCTCCCTGCCCTGCTTCAGTGCTCAGGGTTCTGAAGAGTAATGCTGAAAGCATTGCATGTTGGTTGGCTGGATGTATCATATCAGTTTACAGTCAGGAGCAGAGCCATGCTATTGGGCAAAACAGTTTTAAATTATTATTTATGCAGTTGTGTTTGCAGCTGGTATAAAGCACAGGACTGGTTTCACATGCTTCCACCAGAGCAGGGAGAGCACTCCTGAACAAGTTCTCCTGTTTCCTGGACTATGTGTGCTGTGGAAAGAGAGACGGCTGGGAAAGGATACAGGTTAGAGGGAATAGTTACAGTTCAGTTTTGGAATGCAGTCTTTCATCTGATATTTTGGTGTTGCTTTGGCTTTTCTCCATTTTGATTAATTGATACTGTTTGTGCTATCATTAATCAAATGTTTCCAGTAACGTCTTGTGCATGTTGATATTTTCTTTAGTAGTGGCTTTTTTTCTTCTTTTTTTTTTTTTGTTTGAGGAGGAGGAAGTGTGCATAAAGGGAAAGGAAGTCTTCAGTAATTCTTTCTTTCTCCCTAGGGCAAAATATAAAATACAGTTTTATATACAGTACTTTCTTTTTAAAACAATAGTGAAATAATATTTTAGTTCTCGTTTGAATTGTTAAGACTGTATGTAACTCTTCAGAAAGCTTCCTTTGGTTAGAGAGTGTTTTAGTTCTTATTTCAAAATTATTGTTAAATTTTCTTGTTGGGCAGAGACAAGAGTATTGTTTATTCTTAGTATTGTTTCTTCCTTAGGAATGTGGTTGTGTTCTTTAGGAGCGCAAATGTAGTTTTTATTTGCTGTACCTGCCTTTTGAGAAACAGGGTGAAGCAGAGCTTTTTCTACTTCCAGTCACACAATATTGATGCCTTCTGTTTTCAGTGCTGAAACTCCATCTTCCTTTTCCTTCCTGGAGAAGGCAGGAGGGGAGAAATTGGCACAGAGAGCCCATAAATTCACTTTGGGAGTCTTAGTAAGCAGCTTCTTTTAGAACCTGTAATGATAATTGATGTTTTGTTCGTATTTGGTGTGACTCATTTGTATATCTTTCTCAGTTTTTAAACTCTAATGATGTGAACTTCTTTCATTAGGAAAGTAACTACTTAGGTTTACTTTATCTGGAATTAAAACAGGAACAGTGGTCTCTAAGCCTTCTTGTCCTCTATGTATGTTTAAAGTTTCTGGAAATGTGGTTCTACCTTTGAGTTGCAGTGAATCAAAAATACTGGTCATGAGTGTCAAATTCATGGATATTTTAAAGTAATGCTCTGATGAAACATGAGGATTATACGTAGCTGACATTGTTGAGTTTTGCTTGCATCCATCACTGCTTTGCAGTTGCTATTCTTGAAGCAAACACTGTGGCATGTTTTCAGGAACACTTCTCATGGATGAGAAATATTTGTGTTCACAGAGTCTTGTCACTGCTGACCCCCTGAGATATCTTGATGCCAGTATAAATGGTTTGTTCTGTAAAAGGTAACATCTCTTTGAGGCCCTCCATCCAGTGGGTTATGTTATTGTCTTACTTGCTGTAATAAACAGATCCAGCTGTGTTTACTGTGCATGCAAAGCTCGTGTGTGCTGTGCCTGGCTTTGCAAGGTGTGTCAGGGCTGATGAATGTGCTCTGCAGACGTGAAAAATGTGCCTTGCAAGCAGCCAGTGCTGGGTGTCTCCATGCCAGCCAGAGCCACTGCTTTATCTACATTGCCAGGCAAGGCTGTCAGGCTTTGCCCAAATGTATCACGGTCAGATCAGTGCCAGTGCATAACCCTCCTCAGAGCACTGCCTTCTCTGTGAGCTGTCAAAAAGGGATGATCTCACTGACTGGATTTATCACAGGTGTGTAGTTTTTCTTTGGGATAATTTTTAAAATGCAGTCAGCTTCACTACAAACTGCACTCTTAAAATTCATTTGGTTATTCCTGAAGTGTGCTATGGGCAATTTATTTATGTCTGTAAAACATAAAAAAATACCTCTCAATAGTAAAGATGCCAGTTTTACTAAAGAACTCTATCCTCTTTAGTATTTTTCAGTTTTAGTTTTCAGTTGAATAAGATTAAAAGCACAAGTAAGTGTTTGACTCATAAACATGAAAAAGGCAAGAAATAGAAGTGTGGTAACTTAGATGGCAACCAGTGTTATCATCTGCTTCTGGAATCTAGTAGGCAGTTGTACCATTTGATATTATAGCAAACATATTATCTTCATGGGGCTTTTCTGGTTTGGGTTTTGGTTTTCTAAGGAGTCTCTTATTTCAAATTATCTCTCAGTTATTTAGTCTTCTGTGAAAGTGCCCTATTACTTGTAGCTATATGGCAGGACTGGTGCATTTTTGACATAGTGGTGATGAAACTGCAACAGCAAACAAAGTTTTCTGTGTCTGTTCATGGAAGCTTTCAGAGCTAAAGGGAATCTGGAAACTATAAACAAATATTTTCAGTGTCTTAAGATGAAGCTTCCTGTTGCTTCTGTTAACAGTACTTGGGGATCTGAGGAAGCAAAACTCCTGCAATTTTACTGACTTTGATCAAAGTCAGAATTGAAGTATACTTGTGTGCAGCTGAAGGAAGGAGTGTGTGTAAGGGTATGGTGTTGATTTTGTTATCTAAAATTATTTAGTACTTCTGATCACTGTGTTGTTATGTCAAATGTGTCATGCACACAGTCATAAGTCTGCTTTTTATGCCTTTGAAATGCTTCAGTTTTTAAGAGATGGTAATTACTGGACGTGTTTCATGTTTCCAATTAGCTGTGAGATATTTGGCTCAGATAAACCTGATCACTTGCCTCCACCTGAAATCCCTAAGACTGAAAGTGGAGTGGAGATGTCCTTTTAATCTTCCATCCCATGACATCTGACTCAGGGGTGATGAAGAAAACAGCTGCCAGCTCTCACTCTTGCAGGAGGAGAAGATCCTGCTGTGTCTAGTCTTTCTGGTAGCCCATGCTTCAAGTAATAGCTGTTCTGTGGCTGTTCTCCTGTTAGTCTGTGTTCCTTGGAATCAGCTGCTGTAGTTGTGATACCTGCAGCTTTCTGCTGTGGCTGCTCCTGGTTTGGATAAAGCCAGCTTTGTTTTCTGGGCTTTCTTCTGTGCTTGTGGGTGGCATGGCAGTGCTGGCAGTTGTCTGCTGTCAGAGACAGCAGGCTGGGCCAGGCTGCAGGAGTGTCCTCACTGCGGGCCGTGGAACCCGGTGAGCTGCTTCTGGTTCCTTCCTGCAGATAATCCTCATAATCACGCGACTTGTGTTAAATTTTGTGAAGTTCCATGTGTTTGTTATTGTGATTTTTAATAATTGGGTTGAGGGAATCTGTATTTTTCAACATCTTTGGATTATTTTGTGCAGTAAGTTTTTCTCTATGACTGCTGTTTTACTGAGCTAGTGGTAATGTTTTCTCAGATCCAATCTTGTTTGTAGTTAAACCAATGCCTGAATACTCCCACAGTGTTTTCCTTCCCACAGTCAGAAATAAAGGACATTGCTCCCTAATAAGCCTTTCTTTTGCTGGCTAACAAGTGAACTCAGCACCATGGGTCACATATAAAATATTCTCAGTTCAATGCCATTTGTGGAATGAGAACTTAAAAACAAAAAGTATAATTTGGAGTGGAGCTGTAGGAAGTGCTTAGTCCTTAGCAAAAACCTCTTTTAAAAAAAGGCAAAAACCATTGGTCAGTCACATGCATTTTGAGAACTTAAAACCAGAAAATATAATTTGGAGTGGAGCTGTAGGAAGTGCTTAGTCCTTAGCAAAAACCTCTTTTAAAAAAAGGCAAAAACCATTGGTCAGTCACATGCATTTTGTTTGGCTCTAATTTGTAGTCTTTGCTACTCTTCTGGATTTCTGGTCTTAAATAGAACATTATAAAAAAAGACATTGCTTTTCATCTGTATTTCATATTTAAAGTCTCTTTCTTTCTGCTTGTAGATTTGTTTGTAAATGCATCATAAACAGACAGCCCAGAATGAAGAAAGCAAGCAGGAGTGTTGGCTCAGTGCCCAAAGTGCCTGGAGTAAATAAAGCTCAAACAAGTGAAAAAGCCAAGCCAGAAAACGGCTCCTCAGTGTCTGCAGTAACAAAACTCTCCAAAACCGGGACATCAGCATCTCTTTTGAAGGTAATAACCAGTAGAACGTTCTGATTGTTTGTAATTTTTGCAATAAAGCTTTAAAAAGGGTAGAATTTCCAGGCTTGTCTTTAGTGCAGCTTCGACTAGAGGTTGCATGGGTAGCTGGAGGGAATCTGGGTAGTTACAGAGCACTGGGCAGGGTGACAGGATCTTGTGTGTCACTCATGCTGTACTTTCATACTGCAGCATGAGATGGAGAGCAGTGTGCTGGGCAGGACTTGGCTGTTGTGCAAAAGGAGCAGAGTGGAAGTTGTGTTCTGACGAATGTTATTTGTTTGGTGTTATGCTTGAATGGTGCCAGTGACTAATAGGATTTGATGAGAGTTATTTACTTATTCTGAAAAAAGAACTAATGAAGTAGCTAACATGAGAGCTTTTTTATATCAGTGATCTGTGTTGGGTCAGTGCAGCTGAGTTCTTCTGGCTGGTTTGGCCTTTGCTTTGTGTTGAAGTACTGCTTGAGCTGAATTTTCACAAGTTGATTCTTGCTCCCAGAACAAGTTCAAAGGTAGAGGTTTTCTCTTACAGTAGGAAAACAGGGCAGTATATGGAGGAGCATATGGCTTCCAACAAACCACCAGACACACTGAGGGGTGCTGCTGTGGAGTTTTCACCTGGGAGCAGCCCCATCTGGGTTGGGTGGATGGAATGAGCCTGCCTGGTCTGCCTCCTTTTCCTGGCATGGAGACATTGCTGGATCCAGCTCCTTTTGCTCTCTGCAGCCCTGTGTGCAGTGCTGTGCTGCTGCTGCCCTGGAACAAATGAATAGAGCAAGAACAGGATGTCCAGCAGGGAGCTGAACCACTGTCACTGACACACAGGAAGCCACAAAGGCCATTTAAGTGACTGGCAAATAAAGATCCAAAATTTAAGAAGTATAAGAGTTGAGGTTTCTCTGTAGTAGCTCTGCAGGGTCTCTGAAGTCAAAAGGTGTGTTCCCTTTCTCTTCTTCCTTTTCTTTTATGGAAGAATGGTTAATATTTTAGCTGATGAACTTGCAAGCCAGGTTTCAGGGAGGTTTTCTCCCAGTGTCCCTCCTTTCTTCCATCACCCAATTCATCTTGCAGTTTTCTTAGCTTTAAATAATCTTTTGATGCTTGTTGACACTACATACTTTGTATTTCTAGAAACGTCTCAAAGCAACTAAAATCCTTTGTAGTTTACTTATCAAGTTTCTTATGTCATGCCTCTCAGGGAGATAAAGGAGGATGATGTAACACTGAACAGATTTGACCCAGTATGCTTTCACAAGTTTACTTATATTAGTAACACTTCTGGCTATGTTTTGGTGTGGGATTAGAATTCATGACAGTTTATCAGTTTGAGGCACAATGAAAATTTTCTCTTGATTACTAAGGCTTATCTCAGATTTATATTCAACCAGGCTTACTCATACAGTTGGATGTCTTTTACTTGCTACGGTGCTGTTGTGCCAACTGTGTGATGAGAGTGATGAATCTTCTTTGAGTGTTCTGTACTTTTTATATATATATATATATATATATATATATATATATATATACACACACACACACACTTATATAACAAAGCTAGTTGTTTGTGGGGCTTTTTGTTTACTGGTATGGACAAATCACAATTTCTGGCCTGAAAGAAGTATCAATAGAAGTTGCATTTAAAAAAAGATTGTTTAATATAATTTTATATTTGATGTTGTTGATGAAACATTTGGCACATTGTTTTCCTCAGAGGTTGTAGGATATTCTCTTAGAATTGAACTGATGTGTGTTCTGAATTTCTCTTAATATTCTTTGACAAAAGAAAAAAGCTGGCATTAAATAACTTGATTGCAATGCTCACTAATTTATTCAGTCCTTTGAGTTGGATATTGAGTGAAAGTCCCCTATTAAAGAGTAGAAATACAACAATCTTGGTTCAGTCAGTCATAATGTTGCAAAATGAACAATTATTTTGTATTTATAGCATCCTCTTCATGCTATAACTATAGGCCAGCAATCAGCTTTGAGTGGGTTTCTTTAACTGCAGTGTTCCATACGTTTGTCCTTTCTTGTGAAGTTTTCAAAACGTGTGGACAGTGAGCACAGAAAGAAACCGTGGGACTCACCCTTCAGCAGAGCTGAGCCTGTCCCAGGCTCTGTTTTCCAATGCCCTTGGTCAGTTCCTTCTCTGTAGTTTTTGTCTCCCACTTCGCCCAGCACTTGTGCAAATGTTCAGCACCCACACACCCCACACACATTATTACTACAGAAATTTAACTGCCAGCCACTTTTAATTTGTCAAAAACATACTCTACAAATAATGTATTCTTATTTTTAAGATGATTATTTTTTGACTTCTTCAGCTAATGAGCTTGTGATCCTGCTAACGCTCTCAGCTGTAATTAGACAGCAGCTGTACTTCAGACGAATTGCAAAATCCAGTGTCCCTGAAAAGCCAGGACTTGGAGACCGATATTTGAATATTAAAAATTAGAGTGTGTTTTCAGTATTCATGTGTCTAGGCTTCTATTCTGTTTGCAAAATGCAGTAACTTAATTACAGATTGTTGTGAAGTTTGATGTTTGAAAAACTCAAATACAGCAACAAGAACCATCAAAGAAAATCTTAGGTAGGAATAATTATATATATATAAAGGGATTTGAATGAGATGCAGTAAATAGGATATACCTGTTGAGAAACTAAGATGAAATGAATTGTGTAGGTCATTATTCAAGTTTCGTTGCACTGAAAGAAAGTGGTGAAAGGAAAACAGAATATGAATTGTATAATTATAAAGTGGTTTTTAATACAAAAAAATAAAAATAGGTCTGGATAAGCCTTTCTAATTATGCAATTATCTGATTTTTCATATTTTAATATAGGAGTTTTAATGCTAAGCAGGATGGCACAGCTCTTAGTAAATGGGGAAAAGTCGTTTGATAAATATACACCATTGCTTCTGCTTCAATTAAGAAGATACACTACAAAAATACTTTGATTTTAAAAGTTCTGAACGGTTGCCATTGTGGAATATTAGGACGAGAGCTGCTGGTTTGTAATTTTTCCAAAGCTTTGCTAGATAGTTTTCTTTGCCAAGAGTATAATGTTACAGCTTTGAGAAACTGTTTACTAATTGGCTGCAGAGGAGGCAGTGCCTTCCAACCTAGACCAGAAATAGTTTATGGGTAAGTCAGAAGAAGAATGGCTGTCTTAAATTCCTTTGTTCAGCAAGGACTGCAGATGACTAATGTCTGAACGTGTGTATTTTACTTAGCGTTTTTTTTTTCCCTTCAAGCTGAGTCACATCTTGACCTATTTGGCTTGATAACATGTATTTGTACTCTTAAGTGTCTAAAAGCTTAATCTAATTTCCCCAGTCTTTCAGCAGGGTAAAGATGCTGACAGCTCATAGTCTGTTTGAACTGTCATGTTTGCAGGCGGGTGGGCAGATCCAGCAGCAAAGCAGAAAATCACTGTTCTGTGCCTTATTGTAATACCTTGATTTGGGCAGTAGTTGCACAGGGTTGTTTCTCTCCCCCTGTGCCCTCATGCCCACAAAATGAGTTTGTTAGATACAAAATCTAATCAGATCACAGGTAAACCAGGATTGTTGTACACTAGTAGTTTTGCCCAGCCTGTCCTCCCCACATGAGTTGGGTGGGCTTTATGGCTTTTGTGGCTCTCTGATATTTCTGCTTTCCTATTTATATTTCCATTGCCTCTCCCTGTTTGCGTGGCTGTGTGCCATGGCAGATCAAGGAGCTGGTCTGACTCCTGGGAGGAAGGAGCCCTTGGAAAAGCCTTGTTTGCACAGCAAACAACAATGGCATTTCCACAGCAGAAAAGCTTTAGATGCACATCAGACTAGATCCTTGGAGTGATGTTTTCTTCCAGCCTTTTATAAACCTTCTCAGAAAGCTACACCATTTCTGACATGATTCAATACAAGCGTTCTTGTCCTAGAGAATTTTACCCTTACAAATAAATGTTCCTATCTGTAAATTTTCTATATTTCTCTCAACTGCATGCAGAGCAAATATGTTCTCCTCCCAAAGCTCCCTTTTGTTTTGTAGCTGCTCTTTGTAAATGGCACAGATCCCATCCATGCTCTTTCCACAGTGCTGTGATCAGTGTTCTTAGCTGTTCTGGAATTTGCATTTGCAAAAAGAGACTGTAGATAATAGAGTGACATGCAACTATTGTTTTAATTAAGCAGGTGCACTTTTATTCTAAATGTATAAAATTGTAATGTTTGCAATATAGTGTTTAACATGGATGTGTGTGGGAGCTGGAAGTTACAAACTTGCAGACATGATGGAAAGCAACTGGTTAATTCGTAAGCACTACCTTTTAGCTGGGATGTTGGAGGAGAGTTCAAATGTGTTATCCAGCTGAATAATACAGTTGCTCAAGGAATGGTGCTAGCACAGCTGTTTCCTTTTAATTTCTCTCATATAATGGGAAAAATGTTGAGCACATTTGGATTTTCACCATTTGAAAAATTGTTTTTTAAAGAGTATAAAGTCTGCCAATTGATGCTTAAGAGCTTAGTATTTCTATATTTTGCTTTATTCTGAAAGATATATTCTCTGTTTGGGAGACTGGTTGTTGAGAATCCTGTGCTTGCTGCCTTGTCACATTCCAGGCAGCTTTTGTGGCTAACAGTAGTTTCAGGAGCAATAATATGAGGTTAGACAGAAAGTCCATCAAACAAATACCACATCTCTTAAAATTCCCTAGAAAAGAGCTTGAAAGCAAGGCAAGGATATATGGTGAGAGTGGCTTTTCCTCTGCCTCTGTCCTAGTTTCTAGTGATCTGTAGCTTAGTATTTTGAGCTAGAGATTGTATTTTGCTAGTGTTGGATTGAATTTTGTTCTTCTTTGATTTGAGCTTTTTGTTGTGAATTTGTCTACCAGAAAATATTTGATCATATTCAATTGAAGGATATTGTACTAACTTCCTGGTATTTGGTGGTTTAATAGTCTAAGAATTGCCTTCATTTTTATTCATAAGCAAACTTCCAGTCAAAATTGAGGCATTTTACACTATAATGTTTTACTGTGCTTTGCTTGTTTGGGTTTTTTTTTAATTTTTCTCCTTGGTACTGACAGATTAAGAATTTTTGAGGGGAGAGAGAAGACTCAGTTTAAAGGCTCACTCATATGTAAGGAGTTAAAGTTCCATTTCAGTTTACTGACTCTGCACAGTGCAGCGCACTTGCACTTCTCAGCATTCTTGCACAGACACATGACTTGTCAAATATGGACTTTTTAAACTGAAGGAATCTTTAACAGTAGAAATGTTGGCTATGTAGGCTTCTGGGCCAGCTGCCTTAAAGCTGCTTCTTCCCTTTCTTTCAGACTAAGAGTAATGATGACCTCTTAGCAGGGATGGCTGGTGGCAGCAGCGTGACAATGACCAATGGTGTCAAGGCCAAGAAGAACTCTTGTGTATCAACAGCATCTTCAGCTCCAGGGACAGCCATGAACAGTCTGGAAAACAAACCCAAAACCATTGCAGGTAAATGGATATATTGAGTCTTAAAGGTGGAAGTTGAGGGGCTTTTTATTTTCATTTAATGTATTGAGGATCCAAGTTGTCTGTTGAAGTAACACCATGATCAAATCATGCACCTTCTAGACTCTTTTCCTGTTTTAATAATGTAATTGCTTTTTTGGAGGGTGTTCCTCTTAGTTTTTTCAGTACTGACTTTGCAACTATTATATAACATGAAATAATATAATTTAGAGAATCATAGATTTTTCTAAAATTGTTTGTTTAAAAAACCCATGACGCAAGCACTAAATCTCTAAGATGAGTTGTTACAACCAACATTTTGGATGTTTTGTATCACTTTATAAAAATAAAGAGGGCTTTCAGAAACTGTTCAGAAAAGTGAAATCATTTAGTGTGTTATTGATATGGCTTGAATTAGGTCTTGCATTCCGTTGCTGTGTTTTGGATTCAGTAATGCTTGCAAAGCTGTAAAGTATCTGGAAGTAAAGGAATAATAATTATCTATCTATTTCTATGCAATGAGATGAAAATACAGAAAACAGAAAATGCTGGATGTTGGGTTAATGCTTACTTCCAATATTTTCTATGAAATGTATTTAGCAGTGATTCAGAAAATCAACCACTGTGTTGCTGATACAAAGCACACAGCCTGCTGTGACAGATATGGTATTTTAATTCATCTTCTTAACTTTCAAAAAACATACAGGTACAAGTTCCACAGCTAAGCGTAGCACTTCATCTGGAAATAAGGAGTCAAGCTCTTCTAGAGAGAGGATCCGGGATCGTTCTCGCTTGAGCCAGAGCAAGAAGCTGCCCCTGGCAGGGCAGGGGCCCAGTGACACGGTGCTGGCAAAGCGCTCCCGCAGCCGCACCAACCCCGAATCCGATATCCGCATGAGCAAGTCCAAGTCAGACAACCAGATCAGTGACAGAGCTGCACTGGAAGCAAAGGTGAATGATCTTCTGACGTTAGCAAAAACTAAAGATGTGGAGATCTTGCATCTGAGAAATGAATTAAGGGACATGCGTGCTCAGCTGGGACTCAACGAAGATAATCTTGAGGGGGATGAAAAATCTGAAGAGAAAGAAGCCATTGTTGTCCATCAGCCAACTGATGTAGAGTCCACACTGCTCCAGTTACAGGAACAAAACACTGCCATCAGAGAAGAGCTCAACCAGCTGAAGAATGAGAATCGAATGTTAAAAGACAGACTAAATGCTTTAGGCTTTTCTTTGGAACAAAGGCTGGACAACTCTGAAAAGCTCTTTGGCTATCAGTCTTTGAGTCCAGAGATTACAGCTGGCAACCACAGCGATGGTGGAGGCACTCTGACATCTTCAGTGGAAGGTTCTGCTCCTGGATCCATGGAAGACTTGTTAAGTCAGGATGAAAACACTCTCATGGACAACCAACACAGTAATTCCATGGATAATTTAGACAGTGAGTGCAGTGAAGTTTATCAGCCGCTGACATCAAGCGATGATGCCTTAGATGCTCCGTCATCTTCAGAATCTGAAGGAGTACCAAGTATAGAAAGGTCTAGGAAGGGAAGCAGTGGCAATGCAAGTGAAGTGTCCGTGGCTTGTCTGACAGAACGGATACATCAGATGGAAGAGAATCAACACAGTACAGCTGAAGAGCTCCAAGCCACGCTTCAAGAGCTTGCAGATCTGCAACAAATAACACAAGAGCTGAACAGCGAGAATGAAAGACTTGGAGAGGAGAAAGTAATCCTGATGGAGTCTTTGTGCCAGCAAAGTGACAAGCTGGAACACTTCAGCCGTCAGATCGAGTATTTCCGATCCCTTTTGGATGAGCACCATATTTCCTATGTAATTGATGAAGACATGAAGAGTGGGCGCTACATGGAGCTGGAGCAGCGCTACATGGAGCTGGCGGAGAACGCTCGCTTCGAGCGGGAGCAGCTGCTCGGGGTTCAGCAGCACTTGAGCAACACTTTGAAGATGGCAGAACAGGACAACAAAGAGGCCCAAGAAATGATAGGGGCATTAAAAGAAAGGAATCACCACATGGAACGGATCATTGAGTCAGAGCAGAAAAGCAAAACAGCTCTGGCATCTACCTTAGAGGAGTACAAAGCCACAGTAGCCAGTGACCAGATAGAGATGAACAGGCTGAAAGCTCAGCTAGAGCATGAAAAGCAGAGAGTGGCCGAGTTGTATTCTATACACAACTCTGGAGATAAATCAGATATACAAGACCTGCTGGAGAGTGTCAGGATGGATAAGGAGAAAGCAGAGACCTTGGCCAGTGGTCTGCAGGAGGAGCTGGCACACACCCGCAATGATGCCAATCGATTGCAAGATGCCCTTGCTAAGGTAGTGCTTAAAATACTATTGCATTCTAACACCCTATGTACACAATGGCCTGTTGGCCTCTGTATTTCTTTCAGAAGTAAAAGATTAATTATGAGCTTAATTGGATTGCAGTAGTGTTAGGACTGATTACTTTCTCTTTACTTTTGTTAGGAAAATTATGTCAGCATTTGAAAAAATATATGGATACATTGAGCTACAGGGTGACTGTTGTGTTACTTTTTAAAAATATTTAAATTCCACAACTTATTTCAGTGTCCAAACTTAAACAGCATTTAAGATAGTGTACTAATATAGTGCTTAAATTGCACACCTTCTGCAATGTGCTGATTAGGTTTTGGATCAAAATGTTTATTTCCAGTTCTGTTTTGACCCAAATATTTCTAATTTATGCAGTAGCTATGTCTAGTAAAAGTATTTACCATAATTTAATATAAAAGCAAGAATCGCACAATTTATTGAATAACTTACATATGCATTTAAAAGTGTATCTTCCTGAAGAGAGAATTTATGCCAAATTTAATGTGTAAACTATATATTATCTGCAAAACAACATGTTAGTCATGGTCACAAGCCTGTTGGAATCAACCTTAATTTGGGGTGAAAAATATACTAAAATAATTTTAATAATTAAAGTTGGAGAGTGCTATTAAAATAAAAATCACTGAAACAGATGACTTAAAAGCAGGATATTTTGTCTATTAAATTTGGTGCCTACCAGCATTCCCCACCCTAAGCCACAACCTGTTTTCTGTTGTTTTTCTGACACCCTATTTTTGCTGTTGGGTTAATGTTCCTGTGCCTCTGATCCCAGCCTGTTACTTATGTTACAGTTTGTTGAAGCAGCATAAAAAAGCCTCTTCCTCTGCTCCTGAAAGGGAGAAGTCAGCCACTTCTTCCCTTCCCTGTTTTGTTTTTTTTCCAATGTAATAGTTTGACAGACTCCTGAGAACTGTTTCAACTCACTAACACAAATGTCACACTTGCTTAAGGAAATCACTCATCACACAGGTCCAGCAAGCACTAAAATTGATGCACAAGAGACCAGGCTTTTTCTCTTTTGGCAAGAGAAATGAAGGGTAAAGAGTTTCCCCCTCCACCCTGTCCCTTTTCCATGGCAGCTGGATGTTAAATTGGATCAGCTGCTCAGCCCTGGTACAGTGGTGGTGTTGCTTCACTTGTATGCAGGGCTCTGCTCTGAGGGTAGCTGGGAATGCTCATATATCCAGCCTGGGAATAAAAAAAGTGTAACTTTGACCTAGGAAAGGAGTTGCACTAGAACAATGTACTATCAAAGGTTTACATTTCTGCTATATTTTTCTGATTGCAGAAATAGATTTTAAGTGTGCTACTTACAAGACAAAAGGTGTGTTTTATATGCAACTGAGATATACTGTTCTTTAGGTTGAAGATGAATATCGAGTGTTCCAAGGAGAAGCCAAGAAACAAATTGAGGATCTCAATGTGACTCTAGAAAAGCTTCGGACGGAACTAGATGAAAAGGAGACTGAGAGGAGTGACATGAAAGAAACCATCTTTGAGTTGGAGGATGAAGTAGAGCAGCACCGTGCTGTGAAGCTTCATGACAATCTTATCATATCTGATTTGGAGAGTAAGTATTTTGCATTTCTCTTGAGAGGATAATTTAAGAAAGCTCAAGTAGAACACTGTAATATTGAAAACATTTTCACTTGTCTATTGTATGTCTGAATTCAAGTCAGACTAGGTTTTGCAGAATGCTTACACACAAGGGGAAAATAAAAAAATCAAGTTGGCTTAGCTTTTCCAGACCTACTTAGTAGTTGATGTGGGAATAAAAGCCTGTGAATAGAGAACAAATATGAAATCTGCTAATACTGTTTTCAAATTGTTCTTCAAAGTAGAAAAACGTGGTAGAAAACATGTTTACTGTGTACCTGTCTAGCTCTCTGTGCCTTAGTTCCCTCTCTGATCTTGGAGACCTGCTCAGACATTCCTACCACGGGCTGGAATTCTGCAATTAGTCTCCATCTAATTAAGAACATGGGCAACTCTACCCTGGCAGGCTGTATTTGCACAGTGCTGCTTAGAGAATTCAAATATCTGTTAGTCTTCCATGTTATTCAAAGATGAAACAAGATAGCAAAAAAGCCAAAGCACAATTCCTTTTAACAACAAGGGAAATATTCCTAGAAAGGGTTTTTAATTGCTCTGCTATCAAGAAAAGTTAGTGTCTTAAGCAAGCTAAATTGTTTATTCAAGCTCACCATCTTCAGAGATGGCTGTGAATGTTGTTTACATAAGCAACCCTTCTTTATATTGAAAGGCAATCACTGCTTCTCTATACAAAATAGTTTAAAGTTTTTGTTCTGAACTTTTTTCCCTTTCTGTGCAAAAAACCAGTAATTTTGGAGCAAAGACTCAAAAAGGTTGAACAGTTTTCTACTTGTTTTGTTTTGTCCATTAACTGCAATGCACTTGTGCAGGGAACACTTGTGCACTGTAGTCAAGTAGATATTTAAATATCTGCCTAGCAATACCTCATTACAAGGCAGATCTGATTTTTAGATGCTTCTGCTTTGTGGGTACAAGCCAGCTGTCAGATATTTAATTTCGAGTGGTGAAAATTCAGGCAAATAAACCTCTGCCAGGGGAGAAATCCTCAACAAAAATTGCAAAAGTATTTGTTATTCATTGGTCTTGGAAAATTCACCTGGACCAGCCAATGTCCTGACGTGATCCTTTGAGGGAAAGCGAGCTGTTGTTTTAGTTGTAAGCTGGAAGGAGAGTGGCATCTAGTGGCATTAAGAGAGGATGGCACCCGAAGAATTGTATACACTTCAAAAAGTGCATTTTTTCTGACAGCTTGAAAACTCTGTTCATTTTGAGTTTATAATTAAACCTCTTACAGGAGTTTTTTCATTGTAGTCTCTAAGTACTGACAGCATAGGACTAATGAAAAATCTGAGACTTAGAGGTAGTACATATAATGTTTAAAAGATAGAATTCCAAACACAAAATGGAAAATTATATTTTAAACATTTTATTAAAGACAGACTTTACACTTAGGAGAAAGATTTCTCATAGATGAGGTGGTGAGTGTTCATTCAATTTAATGATTAATCAACACAAATAGTCATGTACAAATGGGAAACACTCCAAGCATTGGTACTTTGGGCATGCTTCACTCTGGGCTTTTCAATCACCAAGAAGAGGCACAAGGAACCTACAAAGAAATATTTTTCACAGTAATCTGGGTATTGAACTGTCACATTTTAGCTGTTAATTTGTCTGCCTGCAGAAACAGGGATCTCTGATGCGTGCAGCAGGATGCAAATTGCATTGATGAAATACACACAGTATGTTGCTGACATCCATCCACATGTGGTGAGAGCTGCAGTCACTGCAACTGAGTTCCTTACTGCTGGGATGAGGAGTTTTCAGCACAGTGCTTAAAGGGCCTGCAGAGGAAACCTAGTGGGGAGCAGCTGAGGGCACCTGGTTTGTTCAGCCTGGAGGGGACTGAGGGGAGACCTCGTTGTGGTCTTCAGTCCTTGCTCTCTGTGACTGGTGACACGACTTGAGGAAATGGCTGGAGCTAAGTCAGGAGAGGTTTAGGTTGGATACCAGGAAAGGATTCTTCACCCAGAGGGTGGCTGGGCACTGGAACAGGATCCCCAGGACAGTAGTCACGGCCCCAAGGCTGCCAGAGCTCAAGGAGTGTTTGGACAATGCTCTCAGGCACAGGGTGGGATTGTTGGGGTGACCTGTGCAGGGCCAGGATTGTCACTTGTTGATCCTGATAGATCCCTTCCAGCTGAGGATATTCTATGATTCTGTTGTATGTAAAAAGTCTTAAGAAATATTAAAATAATCTGTATGTATTATATCCTCTGTGCTGAGCTGAAACAGGCAGTGAGGAGGGCTGACACTGCACTAGATGGCGTGTTCCCTCTGGCTTTCACTTCTGACTTCCAAAAACTTGCAGTAGTCAGGTAGCCCAGCTGTCACATTAGTCATCTGCAGTAACTAAGTAGGAAACAGGAACCTATTATTCTCCCAAGCAGTTAATAAGAGTTTGTGGGGAATTTTTTTCAAGAAAAGTTTGACTCCTGATGTGCAGAAAATGTATATTTGTAGGTTAGCTTGCCACTTCTCAAAGGTTTCTTCTGAAGCACGAAAAAAATTATTGCATGTTCTCTTAGCACAGGTGCATGTAGGTTCTCCTAGGCTGTAACTATAAGTCAGTAAATTTTTAGGACAAGTGTAGGTGAGCTAGAAGGTGGATATATTTAATGTTCAGTGAATAGTTCTTTTATGGAGCTGACAGTGTTAGTTTTAGTTCTGCTATATCTCATTTGAAAAGGATCTTGACAGCAGTTATGAAATGAAATGTTTACTTTACCATATATAGGCCTTTTCTAACAAAGTGTTGGAAAAGTCAATAGGATGTTCATTTTTTGTACTTTTTTTTACTTTTTTTTGTTGGTTTTTTTTTTTTTTTTGCTATTGGTAGACCCTTAAAAAGTCACTTTTTTTGCTGTAGAGACATATTGTCTGACATGATGAGCTCAAAAGCAAGATTGGTCTACAAACTGCCTGAGCTTTGGTATTTGTACCCAGTGCCCCTTCCTTACAGAAAGAAGCTGTAGTTCTTACATTACTCTGTGTATTTGTGATTGTGTTGGGATAGTCATTTCTATGTTAAAGAATCAAAGTGCTCTCCCAGTATAAGGCATGCCTGTGTAACCAGTACAAAAACTGTGACAGGGTCCATTGTGGAGTTGCCTGTGTCAGAATTAGTTGATTTAGTGTCCCTTCTCAGGAATTGTCAGGTCATTTTTTTCTGAAACTACTGCACATGTCTGAATATTGTTAGTATTTTTTCCCTTATTTTTTTTCCCAGAAACTATTGAAATTAAACAATTGAATGTTGATACTCATTTTTATTTCATAGTGATACTTTCTAACTGCTGGTTATATTATAATTAGTAAAAATTGCAGATACAGAGCATCGTGGTACCTTTTCTCTGGTAGCCTTACAAAACTCTTCCTCCCAGCCCTAGCTGTAAAGGTTTTCTTCACCATTTGTAGTCTGCATGTCCCATAATCCTTTTTTTTTCTGCCTCTTAGGTAGAGGCAAGGCCTTGTCAAACTGTGGCTTAAATCAATATAATTTTCTGAAATGTAGATGTAATTGGATCCTGCAGTCAAACACAAGCTTGCTGATTTGCCATTTTAAATTATCCTATTCATTCATCAGAAGAGTCTCCTTGTTCTTCATTTACCCTAACATATAGTTTTGGGTTTTTTTTATCTCAGTCTTCTTTGTTGTCTATGATCCTTAAAAGAATGAGACTGGATAATGGTAGAAGTCCCTGTCCTACCATCCTGAAAATTCAGACACATGGAGGTGGAAAGAATTTGTGTGTGATAGAGAAGAATGTGGAGTTTGCAAGGATGCAGAAAGGAAAGGTGCTACATGGCACCATCTACCTATTTGGACTACTTTAATTTCTCAGGCTGTAGTTGGTGGAAGAGGTGAAATCACTTACATTAGTCATAATTTCTCAGTGTATTTCAAATTCAGTTGCAGTTTGGTGGAGGGTTTTTAGTTTGGTTGACTGGGGAGGAGAGAGAGCTGTTTCCAACAACTGCTGTGAATTGCTCTGTATTATTTATGTACCTGCAGAATATTCAGGCCATTGTGTTTTACTTCAAAGCATAAATACACTAAAATTTAATGGTGCGTTTCATAACTCACAGAAGCTCAAAACAATGGCACTACACAAGCTTTAACTGTGGGTGCATTTATGGTCTCTGGTTTGTGGTTATTTTTAGATAGCTTGCTTTTAGTAGTACTGCAAATTTTGTTTTTAAAAACATTTTTTCTTTGAACTGTTTTAAAAGTGAAAATGAACATTGACTTGATTTATTCCAAAATGTATTTAAAGGAAAAGGTTGAGGGGTGCAAGTTTTATAACTTTGGCCTAAAGCTGGCCTCCTAGTTCTGAATTTAGCTCAAACAAGTTGTGTATCAAAAGACAAGCTAAAAATTGGAGGGCTTTGCTTAAGTATCATGGTAGCATGAGATTTGAGTGGCCCACCCTGTAGGCTTATCTTCAAAGCTTAAAGATCAGCTGGCTGCAACTTAAAATGGGCAGTGTTACAAGGAGGAGATAAATACAGAAGTATCTGTCTATTTTTTATGTTCCAACTTTCAAAGGTTATTGTGTTTTCAGGCTAGCTGAGGTTTAAATGATTCTTGTAAAGAAATTAACTGTAATGTAAAAAGTCACTGTACCTTGGGCTGATTGAGGAGGATTTTGTGTATTGAACAGCCTAAATGTATTAGGCACCTTCAATTAAGGAAAGAGCATTGCTAATATACAGGAAAAATATTTGTTTCCAGCAGGTGTTGGGATAATGAACCTGAACAAAAAAATGCATTTAGTTAGTCTCTCCATAATTTTTATAGTTTTTACAATCACACGATGCTATAGAAATAAAGCATCCTAGAATCCAAGGATCAGTGAAGTGGCACACTGATTAGAAATTTATGCTGCTTCATTAGTTACTTAGTTTTAAGAATGGAGTAATCAATCACATGGTCCTGTGTATTGAATAAAGTCCCAAATGAATGATAATTGCAGTAGCCAGTCTGTCAGACGCCACACACGAGCTGCTGCTGCTCGGGCTGTGCACCCTGCTGTGTTGCTGCTGACAGATTTAGGGGACCCCCTGTCTCATAACATGAGCTCACAGATTGTTTGGCCTTTTGCTGTAAATATAGTTTGCTTTGACCTCAAATAGTAGCTTGATAGACAAGAATATGAGATTCTTGGGGACATGAGTTCAGTTTTGTCCCCGTGGAAGGCAGAGCTGTGAGTGTTATGTCAGCTGCTTAGTGGCAGGAATTAAACTGTGAATCAAAATGCTTAGTGTAGCTGCAGTTTATGTTTGAGGAGGGGAATTCCCCAAACATCCATGTTTTTAGGATCCTTTCATGTTAAATTGCCTAACTTGTTTGCTTGCTCTTTGTTACTGCTTTGTCATTTTAGTATTGTGATTTGGGATTTGTATAAGAATTGAGTTAGCTTATGCTGCTCCCCTTACCAGTCACAGAGGAGTGTGTACCTATGAACACCCTCTGGCAAATTATTCCTTCTCATACTATGTTTCTCAGATTCTTTGGTTATAAAAATGTTTTCTCTGAGTAAGTCTTCAAAAACATTTGCAGATCTTTTCAGTTATTCATTTTTAAGTAGATAAATCCCTGACTAAGGTCTTACAGGGAATTTAACTTTTTTTCCAGATACAGTTAAAAAACTTCAGGATCAGAAGCATGACATGGAAAGAGAGATCAAGAATCTGCACAGGAGACTCCGGGTTAGTAAAAACCAAAAAAGTCAATAAATTGTCAGCTTAGAATGTCTTAAAGCCAGCTTATGAAATTGTGAAAAGATAATATCATTAGACACAATGCCAATAAAATAATTATTTCTGAACGACAGGTACCATGGGAATATATTTACTAACCTACAGACACTAAGCAATACTAAAAATTTCTCAGTGTCACAAAGATATGATGTTGGGCTTAGGAGAAAATGTTCCTGTGTATTTTGATGTGGAGTTTAATATTAAATATTTTTCTCCTCCACTTTGAACATTTTATTTGTTCAGAAAAGAAATTAATGACTTTCAAACTCTAGTTATTTCCAGCAAAACCTCTTCAATTTAACTTGTGAGTTAGGTTGTTCCTAGCACTGGACAAGTGCCTCTGTCGTTCCTGTAAATCGCTTCCTTTAGCAGCATAGGAAAACTATGAATAATAAGGATAACTTTTATTTTTAACTTCCAAATTGGTGCTTGCAGGAGGAGTCAGCAGAATGGCGTCAGTTCCAGGCAGACCTGCAGACTGCAGTGGTCATAGCCAACGATATCAAATCCGAGGCCCAGGAAGAGATCGGCGACCTGAAGCGCAGATTGCACGAGGCACAGGAGAAAAACGAGAAGCTCACTAAGGAGCTGGAGGAGATAAAGTCACGCAAGTATGCCAATGACAACAGGGATATAGTGTCTCTTTTGCAGGAAAGGGGCAGTTTTGGAAATCCAGTTTAATTACTGAGGCTCCAGAAGTTTGTAAATCTTCTCACTGTGAGGATCTGTATTTCAGCAAAGCTGCTTTATGCTGCTTTCAGCAGTCAAAATAGGTATACTTACGACAGCAATATTTGTTTCTTTATACTGTATACTTAATCCACCCAGGGTTTTACAAAACCAAGTTGAAGTGGAGGATTTTTCCATTTTAACAGCTAAAAATTATTTGGCTTCCCACAGTGTGAAAAACAATCAACACTGACTTTTATGTACCATCATTAATATTTCTTTATTAGCAGTCAAGGCTTTTGGTGTGGTTAAAAACACAGCTGGGTTTTTACCTGAGAGGAAACCTTCATCTAGTTCTCCATATAACTTATACTGTTTTCTTTCTACCAATAATTAGAGGTGCTTTCTATATAAAAACAAAAGTAATCCAATTTGTGATATATTGTGGCTTGAATTAGGTGCTCCAAATATTTAGAAACTGAGTTCTATGTCTTTCAGAAATATTAAATCATCAAATAGGAACATCTTGGACAGTACCATTTGAATCCTGACTGCATTGTGTCTAGGGGTCAGATGTGTATATCGCTTATAGTAATGATGCTTCTGATGTGTATATATAAAACAGTTGTTTTCTGCATGGATGAGAATTTGGTGAGATTTACATTTAGCCCAGCATCTAGTAGGATAGGAGATCCTTTCACAGGCTGTGAAACTTAGGGTAAAGCTGATGCTGCCTAAAGATGTATACCAGAAATATATTCTTACCTCCTTAGCATTAAATTGTTTTCCATTCATTCAGGTGGAAAAAAAAATCTCCCCTATGAGATGATTATTTTCATGTGGAATGAGGAAATCCTTAAGTCTCAGTTTTTTCCATCAGTGTGTGTGAGACAGAATTAAGCCTCATATCAAATATTGATCTGACATACTTTTTTTACCAGATGCTGAGCTCTATTGCTGACAAATAATAAGAATTTACAGTGAAAATTTGGGTTGGTAACCTATTTCTGAATTACAGTGGAAAGAAAACAAGGTTAATGTAATGACCCATTTGGACAATAGATTTTAATTCAACTTCAATTTGTGTTGATTTTTTAAGCCTGTGCATGTTAAAATGTTTTTTTAAATACCCTAAATGAGCATCACATTGACTTCAGGCAGGAAGAAGAACGTGGTCGAGTGTACAATTACATGAATGCAGTAGAGAGAGATTTGGCAGCTCTGAGACAAGGAATGGGTCTGAGTCGCAGATCCTCCACCTCCTCAGAGCCAACTCCCACTGTGAAAACGCTCATCAAGTCCTTCGACAGTGCCTCCTCCCAAGGTGAGTGCCACCAGCCAGGGCAGCAGCTGCACCAGGCTGCCCCTCTCTGCTCCTCTCATGGCTCAGAGGCAAACTGCTTTGTCCTGTACTGACCTCCAAGTGATGGCTGAAGCAAACCAACCCAAACTGGATTGCAGAACAGATTGTTCACTGCAGTTAAGTGCAAGCATCCTTTTTGGTCTTGTCTTTATTTTTCTCTTTGCTGTTGCATTGCCAGTGACTCATATGCTGGATGCTTTGATTCAGTGCTCCTGTATATTAGAAATACATAAACACATATGACACACATAATTATAGCTGGGAGCACAGCTGATTTCAGCCTGATTATTAAAATGTGAACTTAATGTTCCAAATTAAGCATTTTAAAAGCCATGTAATAGCTAGAGCTGGGTTTTATTTCTTTTAATAACTTATATCTTGTACTCAGAGCTCTGATGACAGTTAAAAGTAAGATCCAGCTGTATCACCTGTTGAAAGATATAGGACATATTTTCTAAAAAGAAAGGAGTCTCACTCTTGAGACAATGGACTTTATTATGATTCTGATTGTGGGAAGAAATGGTGTTTTCCATAGGTGACCAGAATAAGGAGTCCAAGTAATTATTCTGAAATGAGAAACACTTGGGTTTCACCTTTAACTGCCTATGAAACCTTGTGTGGATTAAAATATTTCCCTTGCCAGGTCTTTGGGTTTTGACTTTCATGTCCAACAAAGTCACCATAAGTTTCATGTAAAAAGTCTTGTTCTGAAACAGACTAAGTTAGCAGAGCCAGTACAGTACTGTGCACAGCAAAGCTGCTTTCCCCTGCTTGGAACTAGGGAGTTTAAGATACAGAACCATCTCTGCTATTTAACCATTCTGTAAATGCTTCTATTTCCATGCTTACTTGTTTTGGTCACAGGTATTTCCAGTATTTTACTTTTCTAGTGTTAATTTAGAAGGTCTTTTTAGTGTGTTACTTGGAGGAAGGTGCTTTCTTGCCAGAGTTAGTTTAGTTAAATGGTAAATCCTCTCTCCCTTCTTTGGAATCTTTTATTTCAATCTATCTGCCTTCTACTCAGCCAGCATTCATGCCTAATTATGTTGTTAAATCATCAGATCACTGATTCACCAATTTGGAATTTTTCTATTTTCACACATTTGTAAAAATGTTGCTTGTTTAATCCCAAAGTTTAAGGTATATAATAATCTAGTTCTCAGGGACTTTGATTAGAAACTAGAAAGGAGAAGCAGGTGATATAGTTTATCTTTCTTGTATTACTAGCAGAGCCAGGAGCCTGCTGCTATCTCTTTAATTGTCTGAAGATCAGAGAGCTAGTAATGCCATGATTTACATCTGCCAAGGTAATAGTATCCTGCACCTTAGCCTTGTCCACCCCCAGCCAACTCAGGCTTTCTCCATGGATGATAGAAAGACAGCAGATGAAGGTAATTGCAGGGGAGTAAATGTGTAGGCATACTTTGAAATGACTTTTCAGTCAATTGCTAATTGAAATTCTGAGAGTGTGATCTGGTAAAACTGGTAATGTAAAGTACAAGGTGAGGGTTGGCTTTAGCAGTCTCCTGTTGCACTGCAGAACAGTGTCATGCTCACTCTGGCTTTCTTTCCATGTTCCTCCTAGTTCCAAGCCCTGCTGCTGCCACAATTCCTCGCACTCCCCTGAGCCCAAGTCCCATGAAAACTCCCCCAGCTGCTGCTGTATCCCCTATGCAGGTGGGTGTTCATGACTGCACTTAATCCTTCTCTGTGAAGAAGATTGTGTGAAACTACAGGTGGTAACATACAAGTATTGGCTGACTTGCTGGGGAAATAATGATAAAATGTTGCTTTAAGTAAGTAATCACTGAACTGTTCAGTCTAACAAGTCTGTCACTGAGAACCATGTTGGAAACTTGGAAGTTCTTGTTAAATATTTGCAACCATTGCTATTCCTGTGCTATTAAAAAGCGTGAGAGGAAGACTTTATTTGCATTCCTTAGTTTTAGAGTTGCCATTTGTCAGTTCTTACTCCTGTGCCTGGCAGGGAAACAGCAGTAATCCCCTTTGGCAGTGGACTAAGGACTGTGCAGAATCTCTCAGCAATCATCAGTGTAAATGTATCTTTCAATGCAGGCCTTACAGGGAGGATTGAAATAATTGCAAATTTCTGCTCTTTGTTCATTTTGCACTGACAGAGTTTGGCCAGTGGGTGATGATGCTGTGTATTTTGTGCTGCCCCTCTGAAGCTTTGTCCTTTTGCTCAGCTGCTGCATCAGCCTGGGTGCACTGAGGTGGCATTGTCAGGGCTCTGATGTTCAGCTTTGTAGATCTTTGCTGGCTTTATTATCTCACTTGCTGTGTGAAGTGAGATTTTGGTAGAAGCCAAGTTTAAAGACAACGCAGATGGGACCAGATTCATAAAGAAAAGTCAAAGAATGTACGTTGTTTCACTCCTTTAATATCCATAATCCTCCTGTTGCCTTCAAGATATTGTTATCCAAAAGTTCCAAAACTTGATTTTCACTGTAGGTCAGTGTAATGATTTTGCAATACATTTTCTCTGCCTGAACTGAGGAGTCTATAGCCATATTAGCTTTTAGTCCTCAAGGAACAATACCTGGAACAGACTGTTCTCCTGTTCTCAAACTAGTGCAGCTTTTATTCATTTAAGAGTGAATTTCATGAAACAAATAGCCTTAAAGCAAAGAGAATGAATTAAATAGTTTTTTGGGAGAGCTTCTGCTTCTTCTTGTGGTTCAGTCACTCTTGACAGCAATTTTCTAAATTAGTTAAATGTGATGAGTTCGCTGACAGATGCTTTGTTCCTATTGATCTGGCTTTATATTTCTGTTTATTTCTGCACTCTTGTAGGAGGAGGCAGACTTAATCTCATGTTGCAAAGGGCTGAACCAGACCTTTGGCAGACAGAAGACTTTTTGGTGAAGCCTAAGGCTTTATCTCACTTCATTTACCTGTAAATTAACCATAAACCAAAGTAATCTCTTAGAATACTGCAAAGCTGCTCAGGTTTACAGCTCTTGTTTGATGTTCTTGATCTGCCAGAATTACTTGAATTTTGAATTAAACTTCTGGTATAGACTCAAGTCATTAACAGCTGGATACTCATTAGTGGGAAACATTGCCTGAAAAACAAAGGGAAGGGTGTGTAAATGAAAACAGCTTCTATTGTCTTTCTGAAGATAGGTGGTTTTCTTCAAAGTGCTTGTAATTATCCAGAAGGCAATTGGGTTTCATGACCTCAGTTATGTGAATATTTTCTGCTCAAGAGAGAAGGGGTTGAGTTTTCTTTAGTTTCATATTTCAGCCTCATTTTCTACTGTTGCATTCCATGTTTTTTAAAAACGTTTTTTAATTTTTTAAAAACATTTTTTGCTTGTGCTTTCTTGGAATTGAAAAGTAAGATTTTAATAAGTAATCACAATGTGAGCTGGACTATTGGCTCCCACCTTATAGAAGTCATCTATGGTTTAAGGTCTTTGAGGAAAGGTGGATCTCTGTATGGATGTTACAGTGTTTATTATCAATAGTTTCAGTTCCTCTTAAATGCTGTCACAGGGGAAATATTTACATGGGCACCTACTGAGAAACTGCACAGTGTTCATACTTCCATAAGATGGACTGATTGCAAAAAACATTGTCCAAGTACAAATGCATCACCATGTGCTTTGTCTTTGAATGTCCTCAGTCTTGAAGTGATTTTGTTTGCTTGGTTTGTTTTTCTTTACAGCTGTGTCTATGTATAATGAGATAGATTCTTGGTTATATTTTGCAACTCAAAACAAACAAACAAACCCCTTTCTGGCTTCAGGTCCAAGCCTGCAGTAGAACATAGCTCTGTTTTACTATGTCTCTTAGCAGTACTGCAAAACAATTTAGGAAGAGAGGTATGAAGAGAATGCTTTTCAGAATGTGAAAACAGCCCTGCTGGGTTAGCCCAAAGCTTAGCTGGTCTGGTATGCCACTGGGAGTGACCAAACCAGATGCCTAGGGAGAAACCTAAGGACAAGGGAGTCTATCTGCTGCTTTCCCTAGGTACTTCCATTTTCTGTTTTGTAGCTGGAGGACTCTCTGAAACAGATGTGGTTTCAGATTTACAGGTTACCACTGAACGTCCTGTTTTGCTTTGAGCATATAAACTTCCAGGGTCCAAGCATTTTAGTGTCAAACACTTCATGTGTCTTAACTAGTCAGTATGTGAAAAACTGGTCTGCAATTGCCATGTGTAGGTGTGCTGGCATGGAGTGCAAAGTGATCAGAAAGAGGTACCTGGATAGTGGTGATGGTCATATTTCCTTCCATAGCTGACAACTGACACAAGGATGATGAGTCAGAAGCCAAATATTTGGAGTTGAAGTGACTAGTTCATCCTGCCATAGTTCTATTTTAAATTAAAAGCATCTCCCAGACACCTGTGCACTGCTACATAGATGAAGGCAGGTGAAAATAGATAAACATCAGTTGGTCCATGTTCCTCTGGTTTGCAGTGCATCGGTCCCTGTGTTACTGCTGGTAGCTGTGATAGATGGAATTAGGAGTTAAAAAGGGCAAGGGAGCAAAGAGACAACCAGTTGTTTTATTGCAAAGAGACAAGACCAATATACAGCAAGTTATCAGCTAAGTGATACAGCCACTTTCTTACAATATCCATAAAGGATGTTTGGTTTTAAGGGATAAAGGTTATCCAGTTCTGTACATACCTGTGTTTCTTGGCTGAAGCTCTGTACTTGCTTGCCTCTGTAGTGCCAGTCCCAAAGCTAATCAAAATTAAATATTTTTATTTTAGCCTCATGTTTTAGCTGTTTCTTGGGATGGGGAGATGCATTGAAATGGCTCACTTTGGTACGTTCATAACCTTGAGTTAGGAAATGTTTGGGGCTTTTTTAAGTAGGTGATACAAGTGTGAAATAGCAGCTCTTAGGGGAAGCTGTTGTGGACATTTCTGGGCATGGCTCACAGGCACTTTCACCTGCACATTTAAAGGTATAATCTTTGTTGTGTATGTGCAGGACATTGGATATATGAAGTGATGAAATTCTTTGTGCTGTACTTTGGCAGTTGTTCTCTCCATTTGATTTTTAGCACAAAAGCATAACTCCAGTTTGACTCTAACTGATGAATAAGTAGCCCTGTAATCCTGCCTGTGCTATGGGATGCTGTAAAGTATATCCTGTTAACTTGTTTTAATCACAATTCTGGATTTGTCTGTCTTGGCTGCATTATTTGGCATGAGAAACATCTGACCTTTAGTATTTTATGAAGATAAGACTCATTTAACCTTGGCCAGATGGAAACCTGAAAGAGTTTTCAGGATAAACACATTAGTGGATTGATTATGATTAAATATTGGAATCTAATAGAAAGGACAGGGTGAATAAAGAATGAACTATAATTTGCAAGAGGCTCTTTGAAATGATTAATTTGAAGTAATTGTGGGCGATCCTCCATGAGTCTTCAACAACTGAATCTGTTTCAGTAACTATAAGGGTAATTATTGCTTTGTACAATTCACTGTGTGAGACTAAAATGCTTATTTTAGTCCTTTTCAGTGCTTACTGAACTGTGTGTACAAGTCTGAACACAGCTGTGATCATGTGCTTGCTAAAAGCCATATATTGCTAAATATTTATATAAAGCTTGAAAACTAAATGCTCAATTCATAGCTCTTTAGAGGAGAAAAAAAAATGAAGTGACCTGAGAAAGCAAAAAAAAAAAATTGTTTTATAACATCTTTGACAAAGAATAAAATGTGTCTCTCCATTTGTTCCCAGAGCATCTCAGTTAAATATGTGAGAACAAAAGCTCTTGACATTCTGAATAAACCCCATTTTTTCAGTAGTGTTTTTCTTAGCAAAGAGTACTTTGGGTCACTGTACCCATTACACCCTTTTCCCGACTTTCCAGGAAGAGGCACAAAGCTGTAAAGGCTTATGTTAATTACACAAATCATGCACTAAAACCCTGGCTTTATATAGGGAGTTCTGTCGGTTTAAATAAACACATCAAGTTTAACCAGAGCAAACAAAATATAAATGAAGGTGAGAATGAATACAAAAACTGCAAGAGTATTCACAACCTTAATTTTTAACATTGGTCTGAGGAACAGGACTCAGCTCAAAGAAGTAAATGTTACAGGATCAAGGCATAGTCAGATTGGCAAAAGTAAAGGTTTTAAAAGTAAAGAAGGAAAAATTTCCAAAGGTTCCTTTATTTTTGTATTTCTTTAAAATTAATAATAATGTCATATCTGAATTTCTAAAGCTGATTCTGCAATTCTACATTTGTTTTTTTTTTTACCTTCTAGTTATGTCTGACACAAGTATTTTTTTCCATTTCAGAGGCATTCCATAAGTGGGCCAATCTCAGCTTCAAAACCCCTTGCTACATTGACAGACAAAAGACCAAGCTATGCAGAAATTCCTGTTCAAGGTACTGATTCAAGTTCATTTAAACTTTGGTTTTAGCACTGCTATTGATAGTTTTTTAAAAAATTACTTAGTATCCAAAGTATTATCATGTTACATATTTTTATTATCGAAATATCTTAATAGAGTCATAGAACCATCTTATGTTTAAGCTCTTTCTACTTGTGTTTCATCACATGTAGTGGTGTAACATAAAGATGCTTTTTTGGATTTCCAACAGAAACACAATTGCATGCTGATAACTTGGTACTATTCTGACAAGTTTTAGTGTGTGCATAAACTAAGATCACTTGTAAAATCAAGATAAGGTAATTTCAGGGACATACATTGCAGCTGTCCCAGATATTAAAAAACCCAACCTGTGGGGTTACAGGTTTTTTAACCCCCCAAAATGAAACAAAGATGATGGTTGGCATTGTATTGCATGTGAATAATAAAATAAACTCATTAAGTATTGAATCTTCAGGAGCCAAATGAAAAATTGAATGGAATTGAGTGTTGATTTATCTATTTCCCAATATTCCCCTGCTCTGTGAACTTTGTTTTGTCTCTCAAAACCCTGTTCACAATGTGCTCTTCCTGTGAGAATGAATGGCTATCATGTGTTGGGTGTAGTTCTCTGATTTATGCCTGCTTTAGGGGCTTTTTGTGTGTAGATGTTTCTCAAGATAATCCCCATATGACTCCAGGCTGAATATTTCCTCTCAATTTGGTATTCCTGAGGTCTGATGTTTTCTAAAGGGTTGTTTTTTTTTTTTTCTGTAGCACTTCATAATAGTGTGTATGTGCCAGATTTCCTTCTTGCTTTTGTTGAATCCATATTGAGGCTATTTGTACAATGCAGCTGCAGTTTTAATTTTAGAAACTTTGATATTTTTAGGAATATTGAAATGCCTTTCCAAGAAGATAATACAGGATTCTTTAATTGTTACAGAGTTCAGGAATAGTCATGAGCTTAAACACAAAATTAATTGTATGTTTTACATGGCTTTTGTGGGTTTTTTTGAACCAGTGAATGCAGGAGCAGGACTGTGTTCCAGGAGTGAAGGTGCCAGATAAAATTCCTGTGTACAACCATACAGATATATTTTTAATGTATCTCTCCAGCAATGTGTAAAAATTTCACATTTTCAATTAATAAATGGGGTTTCACTTTTCTTAATCCTTGTTTCCTTGAGGTTTTATATTCAAATAACTGTCTTCTAAGCGTTTCTATGTAGGAGTATGTAAACCTTTTATTTGCAGCTTTTACTTGAAGGAATATTTCATAATAGGAAATGACTTTGATTTGTTGCTAAGAAAATTAATTTTGTAGGGTTTTTTTCTCACTGGTAGGCACTTAGGCAGAATTAATCTTGCAATATGTAAAGGCACTTTTTAGATCCTGCTGCATGGAGGAAGAAAGGAAAAATATATAGTTTTATTTAATAAATAAAATGAAAAAAAAAATCCCTGAAAACCAAAAAATATCAGTCCAACAAACCAGAGAGAAGGAAAAAAGAAATCACCTGTGGGATAAAGCAGTCTGCTTTACCACTGAACATTATGAAGGACATATTGAATATTTTTTTCCATGAGCTGAATGGGGGTTGCTTTCTCAGCCTTTTGGGATTTTTTCATGGCCAGGGCAAGTGGATTAGCAGGAGGCTTTAGGGCAAAAGGATTAAGGTGCTCCTGGTGTATTCCTGGTGCACTTCATTGGCAATGGGCAATTTTAGGGCTTTTCTATCTTCCAGCTAAAATCAACAGCCCTCCCTAAAACAGCCAAACTCGGGCACTGGTGGGCAATATTGGTGACTCAGACCCTGACTGTCTTATTGATCTCCCTCCTTTCTCTTTGTCCAGAGCATTTGCTGAGAACATCCTCCACCAGCCGCCCGGCCTCTCTGCCCAGGGTCCCCGCCATGGAAAGTGCCAAATCCATTTCAGGTAACAGCACGGCTTTTAGGTGTCAGCAAAATTAGGAGCTCTCACTTCAGTCACGTGCTTACAGGTCTGCTTTGTGACTGGCATAACCCACAAATATTCTTCAGTATTGCTGATGGTAGTTGCTGGACATTTGATGTTAACTTTGGATTTGAAAAAAGCCAGACTTGCTAAAAGTTTATGCAGAGTGTTAATTTACTATCAAGCTGTATATATTGATGTCTCTGTATCAGCAAGGGCTTCTAAAACCAAGTCTTTATTAATTATAGCACAAATGGTGGGGTACTGTGAAAATGATGCTTTGTATAATCTAGGCAGAATTGATTTTAGATCAATTTAAAAAAAAACCCAAAAACCCTATATTTGAGTAAATGCTTACAAGTTTTAGATAGTTTTTGTTTGTATAAGAACACAAACTTCTTGTGTGTGGTATTAGTAAATTAATGTACTTTCTCCCAGTTCATTAGAAAATAAACCCCTGATTTATGTTTGATTTGCTCAAACATGAACAATGATGATTTTTTAAGTATAAAGGCAAACCTCATACTTTTAACTTGAAACTCTTCCATGCAGAGAACATGTAACAATTCCAAAATAGGTTTTAATGCTTGTGCTTTCGTTTGAAAGAAAAAGAATTTCCTTTGATAAAATGAAGCAAGCTCTGTGGAATGTGGCTGACTGGTCTCAGGTCAACGTTTGATATTCTTGTTGATGATATTTAATTAATGTCCAGAGCATCACATACATGGCAATTCTTCATTAAAATTAAATGGAAATAAAACAGCTGTCATCTCTAAACTGATTTGGTTTTCTTTTTCCTTAACTGCTTGAAGCTTCGCAGCGTAACGATCTGGACTAGAGGAAAATAAATGTTTTGATGTTAAAATTCCTTCTCATTCATTAAATCCTTCAAATGGAAGTGGTCATGTTCCATTAAGATACATCCATCAAACTTTCTTTGCCTCAAAATACAGGCTTGATCATAAATGTTTTTAGTGCAGTCTAAAGCTTTCATGTTTCCAAAGTGGAAGGCATCAAGAAGAATGTTGACACCTACTATTAGATACAGGTTTCTATGCTTGGTTTCTGAACTAATGCTTGTCTGAGAACAAGTTTGAAAGTTTTAATGTTTGCAAATGATAAATGCCTGGGCAATTTTCCCCTTAGTGTCTCGAAGAAGTAGTGAAGAAATCAAGCGGGACATCAGTGCACCGGATGGAGCATCCCCAGCATCTCTCATGGCAATGGGAACCACCTCACCACAGCTGTCCCTCTCATCTTCTCCTACAGCATCAGTCACCCCTACAACCAGGAGCAGAATAAGGTAACAATCCTTTACTGGGGCTAATTCCACATCTGTCTGCCTGCATATCTCTAGTGTATAATATTGGTACTGAGACTGCAGGCCCCACACAGTAATCACCTTCAGTAATCTGTAAGAGCTTCAGAAAGGTTTTTCTGCACCTCAGTATTTGTTTTGAAAGTTAGACTAAAAGTTAAACTTTTTAAAGCTTTCGAGAATTTATACTCCACTAGAAAAGCAAGCTAAGTCATGTCACTAAATAATAGTAGCAGTTCAAACTACCACAAAGCCAAATTCTGGAAGTGAGCTTGCAGCACATGGAGCAGATCATGCAGACTGGCTTGGACCCAGGGAGTCCATGATAAACCTTAACTTCTGTAATCCCAGTTGAAGACAAAAAGCAGCATGCCCAGATCTTTATCCCAGACACTGGCAGGTCTTTTTAATAAACATGATTGAATGGGCCTGGGTTTTTTTGTCCCACAGATGGAGTTATAGTGCAAGTCTGAGCAGCAAATGGCCAGACAACCTCCTGTGATTAGTAAGACAAAAGATAAGTCTGTGGTAAATATAAAACTTTTCCTTTCTGTTGTGCTATCAGTCAGAGGACTTCAAAGTATTTAATCCTCATTTTGTCCAAGTGAAGTATGTCCTCAGCTCTGCTTCATAGGTTGGGAAATTTGCAGACAAAGGTTAAATAACTCTGTCAAGACCATTTCTCACAGAACTTCCTGACAAAGCTTTTGTACAGCAGAACTGTTAAACCCTTAAGGTTCAGAGACACTTGCAATATGTATAAAATTCTAAGGTATTCACAGTTGTGGGTGCTTTTGAAAGTGATTTTCCTGAAATTAGCTGACACAGGCCTCAGTGCCGCCCTCCTTTTATTGTGCAGAAATTAAACTAAGTTTAATTGTGGGTACTTTACTACAGCAATTGTGTATGTTAGCACCTAAATTTAAACTGATTACATCCAGAAATAAGTTTTAAAAAAAACCTCTGAAACACCTGTGTTTGAACTTTGAACTGGTAACATTGAGTTGTATTGGTGTCAGTCTGCAGACTGGAGCAAATAGTGTGGCATTCCATGGTGAAACTGTTCAGTTATAATTATGAAATCATTACTGTGCTGCCCAACCATTGCCTGCAGTGTTCAGTACTACAAGAGACTTAATGGGCTGTGCAGCAGTGGGTGTGTGGTGATGAGTGTGGCCTTTGGAGCCACTCTGATTTGTTACATGATCAGATTTCTCTGTTTTCCCTATTTTTTTTTCTGAAAGTTATTGGAAGATAGACAGTTATTGGTGTAGTTCACTAGAACAAATACTTGCAGTTTACTGTTCCCTGTTCTAGTTGAAAATTCATTAGCTCTTTGATTTGAAATGCTGTTGACCCAATATGTGAACATACAAGATTTTTATGTCAAACCATTTCTCATTGTCTCCATACAACTTAATGCTAATTTATTTTCTTCAGCAGTGTTTTCATAACTGTGAGAAGCTGATATAAACCATGTGCTTTTGATGGAATTTGAGAACAGGCTGTACAGCTCCCTCATGGCTAAACAGTATGTTTAGTGTAAAGAGAGAGGGATGTTTTTATTTGAGTTCTATTGTTGCCCCAGATCTCTGTTCTTCAATTCTCATAGTGTTGCATAACCCTCATTATAGATTGAATATGCAATCCCATTGTTTCTTGTTTCAATCACCAAAGGAGAAAATCATCAGTGTAAGTTGTTGATATTTGTATTGATTTAAGAACTGAAGTACAGAATTTCTTGTAGCATCATTCTGGCTGTGTGGTGCCTATGAAGTTTAGGTACAGTGACCTATTCAGATAATTTATTTCCTATTTTAAATACACAATTATTGACTTCCTTGTCATGTTAAATCAAGATGAGCAATTAGGTTTGAGGGCTCAGCATCAAAAATAGCAGTTACTGTTTTGTGTTTAATGTCCTGCTGGGCATAAATTTTTATGGATATTTCATCTGTTATCTCTAAGTAACTTGGAGATCCTGCCCATCCATATGTCAATGAAAACTGGCCAAGCAAACTGCAGTACATGTACTTAAGATTAGTGCCTTAAAACATTTCCTTGTCTGATGTGCCACATTCTCTTTTGTGCATGGGCCAAGAGATGCTGATCCGTGGAACAGTCTCTGGTGTTCTGTTTATAGCACGCACACATAGAATGTGTGAAGATATTCACATTCCATGGATGCTTTCTTTTCCCTTAGCAGGAGCTGGAGAGTTGCTACCTGTAAATCTGCAGCAGAGAATCCACTGATGATATTATTTACTTCCACTTTCCACCCCTCTTTCCAGTCACCGTATGTGCTGTAAAGAACAAAGAGTTGAAGATTTGAGAGTGAATGCATAAAATCCCTTTGTCTTTTGGGAAAGATTCAGAAAGAGTAACTTAGGGTATCATTTCTGTGAATGTTTTGAAAACTTTGCTTACATCAGATAGGACTCTTTAAAAATGGCAAATGGGGACATCTTTGCAGTTCACTGATAGCTATCTTATTTTAATTTTCCACATGGAGATTTTTAAAAACAAGAACAACTTCTTGCACACTTTGTGTGTGGTAACTAATAGCCATAATGGTGTAGTACTTGCTCTTTTTGTCAAAGACTGTTTGTTATAATGTCTATAGAAATACTGAATCATGTAACCAGGCCACTAAAGAAGTGTTAGCCTCTATAATGTATATATTTTTTAATCTAAGAATTCATTTCTGAAGCGTGGTAAAGAGATGCATGTAATGTAAGGTTCATGAAGAAAATTGCCAACTTAGGTTGTTCTTTTCTTCCCCAGTCTTTTCTTAAGGAAAAAATTACTTAAGATAGCTTGACAAACTGGAATTGAAATTAATTGACTGCTTTTATTGTGCTAATACATCAAATGGCAGATCAGCCTACATAGATCTTCCCCTTCTTTTTTGAGAACTCCAGGTCTCAGGCAAGTGTTCTGGTAATAACACCCTGCTGCTCATATGCAAACTTGTTGTTCCAAGGTGACATTTGTAATCAGCCATGAGATGCAAAAGAGATAGCATCAGTTTATATTCTTTCTGAATCAGAAATAAAGTCGCTTGAGTTAGTTTAATGGTTCAGGCTGGAACTTAATATGTTGTGAGTTTAATTTTTCAAACTCTTAAAAATATCATTGAGGTGGAAAGATCTAGTTAAAAAAGGAAAAAATCTAGTTAAAGGAAAGAGAAGGATGATTTGCTAATGAAAGAATTACTCCGAACTAACTCAAAAGTCTTTTGCAGGTATTCCTGTGTGTTCTCTTTTTCAGTTTGCTACTTTCAGTGTGCCAAGAATTTGTCCTTCTATTTAAGCCTTTATAAATACCTATTTCTGTTGTGTTATAAGCTGTTTTGGCCTTGTTCCTAGGGAAGAGAGGAAAGATCCCTTGTCTGCCCTGGCAAGAGAATATGGAGGCTCCAAGAGGAACGCCCTGCTGAAGTGGTGCCAGAAGAAAACAGAGGGCTACCAGGTACCTGCAGAGCTGGCTGACCCTGTGCTCAGTGGCTGCCAGGCAGTGGAGCCTGCCCGTGGCACGAGCCAGGCTGCTCCACACCTGACTGCATGGACTGAGTGCCCTGGCATGTCCTGTTCCCTCCCCGTGGAACGCGTGCTCCCAGTGCTGCTCCAGCACCAGCAGCTCCTCAGTCACTTTGCTCCACAGCTTTTTCTTAAGGGGGCAGCTGCCCTCCCACTGAGCCACTTGAAATCAGCCTTTTACAGGTTGCACTTTTGAAACTGGAGCTGAAACTTTATCAACTGAATGTTTAAATTAATGTTTCCCAAATGCAACTAGAGTACCATTTCTCAGATTTCAGAGGTTTATTTTTTATAGGTAATTATCATAGGGTTTTCTTTGGATCTTTGAATGCACTCCCATTTGGCCTCTTAGGGACAGTTTGTTTTGTCAAGGTAGCATTGTCTTGCATTTTGAACTTGGCTTTTTACTGTAGTTACAGACTTTTTTTTTTCTTCACTTGGTCCAAATGTTATCAGAAGCCAAAAGAACTAACAAGATAACTGTCCAGAGTTCTCCTGATTACATTATTTTTTCAAAAGAATAGTGGCTTCAGCAAACTAAACCAGGATGTTAATAGTCTGACCATGATGTATTTGTTTGGTTAACTTGTATTGAAAGTGTTTGGAGTTCCCAACACAATCCTCAGTTTAAGAACTTTACTCTTTCCATGACTTGAGCCTCACAATGCAGGAGGAAGTTGAGAGCCACATAACAGGATGGTCTCCCATCCATAGGAAAAGTCCTCCTCCAGCACAATGGACAGTCTGTGATATAAGCCCTCCCCCTCTTCCTGTGGCACGTCTGATACTCAACTGTGCTATTCCTGAGGAGAAGCAGCTTTGTGGAAAGAGCCTTTCTCCTTCCCCACGTTTTAAAAAAGGCAGGATGTTACATTTCTTTATAAATCCTCGAACAAAGTGCAAAAATATTTTCCCATATTGTCTTGAAATGAAAGATGAATTTGACAGCTTCATTAATCTGGTTAGGAAAAGCGATAGAAATTATTCCAAACTTTTCACTCTGTAGTTGTGTGCACATTCAAGAATACACTTCTGATTCTACAGATTGCTGCTTATAATTCTTTGAGTTTTGTAAACACTGGTAAAAGGATAGCTTTTGAGACTTACTGTACTTCTTCAGAACCTGCAGCAAGGTCCTGAGAAAGCACAGAGCATCTGCAGAGCCACTGCAATGCCTTCATTGAAATTGTAAGATACTATCAGGAGGTTATATTAAGTAATTCTGGGAGAAGAATAGCTTTTGCTTTAGGCACACTCATTTTTCATTCCTTTATTGTACAGGATTTTATTATTTTCAGCATCCCCTGAAATTCAGTTCTGGTTGAACACTGTTGGTGGTATTCAAATGTTTTAAACATACCCAGCACTGTATTCATTGTGAACAGTGCTTATCCAGATTTCTGGCATCTCAATGTTATCAATAACAGATAAGGATCTTTTTTTATTTTCAATGAATCTCTGCTTCATTTTAATTTTATTTTAAAACCGTGTGTGTTCAAAACTGACTAACAGGAAGCATCAGGGTAATGAACATCTCCCTTCCTCATTCAGTCTTGGTGAAGATACTCAGCTCTTCTTCCTTCCCTGTCATCCAAGCATGGACAGGATACCCTCTTTACCTCCAGCTCTTCCTGTGTCTCACACTCTGCCACAGCTCCCTTTTCTCCCCAGCATTTCCTATCATCAGAACCACTTTTCCTCTCTACCACTGTTGTTTTGTTTGCTTTAGCACCTGGGTGAGAGCCAGCACCAGCTTTCTGAACTGCAGGTACATGCTGGCTGCCCAGCCCCGTGTCTCTGAGCTGCTGCAGGAGCCTCACAGAACACAAATCCTAAATATCCCAACCTTTTCCCCTAGGAAGAGCAGTAGGTCACCTTCTATCCAGTCACCAATTTCCATCCAATATTTGCTGTAAATATAGCAGGCTAAAGGAAAGATACTTGGAGATGGAGTCTGTAACAAGTTCTAAAATGACCTGAAGGATTGTAACCATCATTTGGAAACAAGGGAAAGAAAAGAAAATATTAGAAACCTTTTCTTTCAGAATAATTATTTTCTTAATTTTGTCCTATTCATATTAAACTACCAATACTTAGGTAAAACCCTGTAAGCCAGTATTTTTCAAGATGTGTTCAAATCACAACTGATTCATCCACTGCCAACAGTAATCACATTTTTGTCTAGTTTTCTCCCTCTCACCTGGAGGTGATGTCTCACAGCTGTAGGTCTTTATGCATAAATGCATGGAAGGTATTTATAGAAAATTATTTCAGCTGTTGGTGTTTCAGGGAAGATGCACCTTGAGTTAAAGCTCCATTTCTGAGAGACATGTTTGCTCCTGGCATTGTTTTGTCTTTCATCTCTGGTGTTATATTTTGCACTGGATAGTGGAAAGTAGCTAGTGAATACTAAAAAACAGTAATCACACAAGTAACCAGATACAAATCTTAATTTCTAGAATTTTTTGAAGGTTTACAGAGTTCTAGGTGGGCTGCCATTAGTTCAACCTGTTGAGCACTAGGTGTGGTGGAGTTGGTTTATCCTTATCAACAGGGTAAAATACTGCTAATATTTTTTTAATAAAATATATTTCTCTTCTTTAAAGAGAAAAAAACACACCAAAATCTGTCCTGTTTCAAAGAGAGAATGTTTTCTTTACTCACAAGATACTTGTGGAGAATGCAGCACTACAGAATTGTCTGGTATAAGTGGTATGGGTTTTTTGTCTGCTCAAGTAAAATGGAAGAGAAATACCTCCTGCTTTTCTATCCCTTCTAGAAAATTGATTTCAGGCTTTGATTAAAAGTCTTAAGTACTTATTTCTGCTTTAGAAACTTGAAAATTTATGAATGTTAAATAATTCAAATATGATAGTGTGGTGAAGCTCTTAATTTCACTCCATTATAGTGGGATAAACCCTGTTAAAAAACCCTGTAAATTACTTCATTGTACACTTTTCTTGATTTATTCAAGCAAATTTGGAGGGGAATAAATGAATAGTCACCTTTAAATGCAGTTGTTAATATTTAACTGTGTTCCAAATGTTTTTTTGAGACCTCAGTAAAAAAAAATCAGGTTGGTACAGCGAATGAAAATAAGAGAAGTTACTGGTGTAAAGACATGAATTACTTCATCTCTTACTATATTGTAGCCTTTAACATGCTGCCTGGATGTTGCTGGCAGGCAGGATTTCTCCTTGGAGCTGAGGTTTGCAGCATGGTGATCTGCAGAAGGTCAGTGCAGGACTAGCAGAGGCAGGTTCTGTATTAACTTCCACCCAGAGCCTGTTCAGTCCTGACACAATTGCACACACCAGTTACTGAGCTGCATTGTTTTCTGGGCTGAGCAGGTCTCTGAGCCATGAGAGAACAGAGCTGCTCTCAAGATAAGCATTTAGATAAAAGAGGAGCAAATCACCTTTAGTTTTCAGATCAACAGGCACAAAATAGTTGAAATTTCATCGTGTGTTAGCTTTGCTCAGGATCTGACACTGCTGCAGTGTACAGAGCCAAGTGCTGCATTTTTCAGAGAGAGAATCCTCCTGGCTCCTCTAAAATATGTGCAGTGTCATAAAACTGTCATAAATTCCAGATATCTTCAAAGCATAAAGTAATCCCATCCAGCTGTTATGGAGCATTTACTCTGGCTGGAGCACAGCTACTTTCATTTTGAGTACACAGCTAATAAAAGTCCCAAAAAGGATGTGAGCATGCATGTTTCATGTTAAAAGAGGACCAACAAACAGGATACACACATCCTTACCCATTCTTATCTCCACCAGTATTTTAATTTATTTTCCATTTTTGTCAGCATTCTGAAAGATAATTCACTTCCAGAAGTCTGACACCAAAAAAGCAATTGCCATAAAATTGCAAGAAGAATAGACTAATTTTTTTTAAGCTTTTAAAGCTTTAAGCTTTACACACTTCCTAGGTACAGATACACTTAGTGTAGCTATGTAGTACTTGTCCTTTATTTTATACAATGCTGCTTTCTGGAAAGACTTTTGCTGCAAAGATGTAATTTTTACCTCCTGTACAGATCAGAGCTACATGTCTTACAAAAACTGAATGCTGTGCTTGGTGCACCTTGAAATCAAGCAATGCTTTCATTTGTGCTTGGGCAACAAATGTAGAATAACAAAACCAAAAGTAAAAAATTGTTCATATTCCTTTTTGTTTTTAACTTACCAACACTGAGCTAGGTTATATCCTATTCAAAGTATTATATTGATTTTAAAAATGCACAAGAAAAGGACATGACTGTGCTTATGTAAGCCTGTGTTCAAATACTGACTCCAGGGTGTGCTTTCTGTGCTGTCTGGTTGATTCATCAGAGTAGTCAGGATGCCAAAACACTTCTCTCCTTGGTTTAAGATGATGCTTTAGCCAAAAATCGTTGAGTTATGGAAAGACATGCTTCCTTTTTGTGTTTGGATTGGATTCTGATACAAGAGAAATGTCAACTTGTTAGACTTAATTATGAGAAAATTTAGAATAAATTATGAAGCTGTCTGTACCTCTAAGTGTTTCAGACATTTATGTCTGAAGCTATTACTGGATTTTCTGAGAATGACTGCTTCTTTTATGGTTCTTCTTTGTGCCCAAACTGAAAAATAACATGTGTTTGGTATGGAAAGAAACATTACCAGTCAGTGTGATGGTCTATATTTGCTATTACTGCCTTTCCAGAAGCTGGGGTTGAAGAGGCAGTAGCTGGGACTGCTGCTAAGTCTATCCCAGAAAAACTTTGATGTTCTCACCCCACGGCCATAAGCAGATAGCCACAGGTTTATTCCATTATTTGAGAGTCAGTGAATCCTGATTCAGTGGAGAGTGGATGGCAGTTCTGTTGTAGTTAACCTTTGTAATCTTCTGTAATGGATACTCCTTTCTTTTGTGGATGTATCTTTAAAAGCTTTTAAAAGCATTTTACTAGTAATTTTCTGCAATGGGAAGAAGCCTGCCAAGGTCTGCACACTTAAACTTCAATCTTATTTTAAGGCTTTAATATATTCTAGCACAGAATCATATTAATAGTTTTGCTTTCTCAACCCACTTATTTAATTAACTAATCCAACAGACACATAGACACATGCTTTTATTTTCTTCATATCCTGATTCTTTTGAGAGCCAAACCAAGTTTGGATATGGGAATGTCTCCTCCTTTTGCAGAACAAGGGATGGAGAAATAGCTGCTGTGCAGGATGCTCCTCTGCTGGAGTTCTGGTGTTCACAGTTCAGGGAGATGAAGCTGGGGACGTGTCTAAAAAAGTGATTTAAAAAGTTACTTTGTTCTTAATTTGTAACTGCAGGTTAAAAACCATGCTTTCTGTAGTTGGGTTTCTTGATGTTTGTGGGGTTTTTTAGCCCTGGAAGTTTTCTGGGGGTGTATAAAAAAGGAAGGAGTTACTGGGTTATAATAGTTAGCATCTGTTTCTTGTTTTATTTTAAAAAAGTATTTTCACTGACTTTAGAAGACCGTCTATTAATTTAGAATTATTGCAAAAAAGCAATAGAGGAAAAATTAGCAGTGTGCTGGTTAAAACCATTTTAAAATGGTGAGTTTTAGAAAAGCCATAGGTTTGCAGAGATCTTAGATTGATGCTGTGCAGGACCCAGTCTGTTAAACAGTGTAGAAAGTTTCATGGGGAATACTGATTTTAGTCTTTGTTTTCTATGTTAGCTCAAGGGAATCCTCATTTTGTGGTGACTGCTCCTCCTCTGCAGTTTCCACTTCAGTAGGGGCTGGAGTCACGCTTGAAATGCTGCTTGGTTGTGGATCTACCAAGTTGTTCTAATACCATCTATTTTTCACTATATTTTTGTGTTCTGTCTCCAGAAAGTCTTACTAATTTTTAACTCTGTTGTTTACTCCTGGTTGGAAATGTCTTCCATAGATCTTTTTTTTATGGCAATGGTCTGTTGCTTAACTTTTGTAAAAATCACCTTTTTAAAAACCATCTACCCCAAATACAGAGGTGGCTTCACTCCCATCCTACCTATTAATCATTAATAGACAAGGGATGATAAATACCCTTCTAGTTCATTTATCTCCAGAAGAGCTTTTTCCTCATTTGACAATTTATCTGAAAGTATGTCCTTCAGCTGCTTTAATACTTTGTGGTCTGAAATGTCTTGAAGAATAATTCTAGATTAGATTCCAGCAGAATTCTCTTAATAGAGCCAATTACTTAATAAAAGCAATAACAAAGAAGAAAATATGGCAGAGATTTTAGGTTGATGTTCTGTTTACCATCAATTCTTTGAGAAATAAGAGCTTAATGCAAGATTGATTTCATTATAGTGACCAAGCTTTTTCAAAAAAACCACAAGTAGTTAAAAGCATTTAGGAAATAAAATTTGCTGCATTTAAATGTGCCAGTTATGTGCTCAAAGCCCTACATGAAAAATTAAATTTTCAGTTTAAATGACAATCTGTCCCATTTCTAGATTTGTTTTTACTGTCTGACCAATATTATACTTCTTTTAGTCTGAGAGGTAATAATAATTCATAATGCTTAGAGCAATTGGAAACAGAAACCAGTCCCTTTTAATTGTTTCCTTCCGTTGTATTTAATTCAGCTTCTCTGGATACATTAAAATTCTTGGATGATAGGTTTGTTTTCTGCTTGTTGTCTTAATAATAAAAGCTGGACCCTACAAGATGATTTAGAAAAATGGGATATTCTGAGTTTGGCTTTGTTTGAGAAACAACCAAGCTTGTAGGCGTACTTTGAATGGCCTTTTCCCCTCCAGTGTTTATATTAAAAATTCAGCATTCTATGGATACTTGCTAATAATGAAAGCAAAGGTTTTGGTTTGTATTATTGTAATGTTGAAGAGAAGACTTTTGCTTGTTGTAGTTTCACTGTGGCAATGCCAGTGTACATCTTTCTCCTCCCCTTCCCACATCACTTGGTTATCTCAGGGAAAGAGGGAGAACATTTCAGCCGAGAGGTGAAAACCAGGTTGGAGTTTTTGTCCCTCAGTGGATTGTATAGCAAAGCACACATGATAATTCACACCTGATTTTAACTGCCAGCTTGCCACACAAGCCTGTGACAGAAAAACCCCCTGTCCCTACCTTTATCCATCTTACTGACACAGATGTGAGCCTGAGGCCTTATTGGATACAGGGTAGGAGGAAAGACCTTTCCAAAAAGTGACTTCTGTAAATGGACACATGTAGAAATTTATTGACTTTAACAGTATGACATATTTTCCTTTTTTTTTCCTTTACAACCTCATCCTATGTGTTGCATATGTTTCCTTAATTTAAATAACATCGAGAAAGCTTTAACCGGGCACTAATTTAAATCCAATTTCCTGTCTCTCTTGAGGAAAAAAGAGAGAGCTTTTTTTTTTTTTTTTTTCACCCTTCATTTTTTTCCCTGTTGCTTTTGGGTTTTCCCAGCCGTGGCTGGAGGAAGCTGTGTGCAGAGCAGTTCCCACAGCCCGGGGGTCTCCAGTGCCATTTCCCTGTGAGCCCCAGCACGTACACTGAGCCCAGAGCCCGGCCTGCATGGGGCCACTGCCCAGCCAAAGTGCTGGAGCTGAGCAGGAAACCAGGATTTCCCTCACATTCTTCCAGAAATTGCCCAGAGTTGTGTTTTTGTCCTCTGTCGGAGGAGATTGTGGTTGTTGTTCATTTGAAGTCCGAGTGGCCTGGGCTGCCTGGCACAGAACACTGGCTCTGTGTTGTGTTCTCTGCCTTTGGAGTAACCAGTTGTAGTGTCTTGTCCAAGGCAGCTGATGATGGTGACTAAATTGCTGTCAGGTGAAAGGTTGGCTCAGGTGATCGTGATCCTGCACTTCTCTCACTGGAGGTTTTAGTCCCTGCTGTTAAAACTGAGTAAGCTTCTGCTTGAGCCCAGTTAAGTGGGTTAGATATTAAAGCATATTTATATTTCTCCATGAAAGTGTAAAAGATATATGATATATTGTTGTTACTGCTTGTTTCCTAATTAAAGTTTAAACTGACTGCTATCCACTTAGCCTCTCTAACGTTGTTTGACTGCCAACAGCCAAATATACAGTCATTTAAAAGGTCACTGAGGCATCTTGTTCATAACTCTTTCGGACTGGGCTGACTCTACAATAATTTATACAGTCTCAGGAGATGCATTTGCCAGTGCCACTGAGTTTCCTATGGGAACTAAAAGATCAAGAGTGCAAGACAGCAGTCTTCAATTTCAGTTTCAGTCCCAAAGATTCTCTGCTGCTGTCAGCACTAAATCTGCTGGAACATCTTATTTCCAGATTTGTTTGTGATCTTGTTCACAGCAGTTTCTATAGAGAAATGCTTTGTTTAAAAGAGAAAATACCTTTCCTCATCATATAGGAATTTTGTGTGGATAGGAGTGCAGTAAAAGCAGAAAATAGGATGAACATGAGCAGAAATAGGAGCACATTGTCTGATCAAGGATTTGGGTTACACATCTTTGTCTCATTTGCTTTTCTGTCTTGGGGTGTACAGTTGCACCAAATCCATTACCTTCTCTAGCACAACATTTTACAGCTTTTAACACACACTCAACCACACATTTTGCACTTTTTTTGAGGGAGGACTTTAAATTATCAGAAATTAATATATAAAATAACTGACTTTCTTATCTCTATATTATTTTGATTTCCTCTGTTAGTAGTGCAGTTCTTACCACATAACTTGGGTATTGTGCTGTCCACTTTTTCTGCCAATTTTTTCAAAGGTATTAAAAAGAAGTATTGATGAATTGGTAGCATGTAATAATTGTTAGATTATGATTTTAATATTGCTTTAATTTTTTCCCTTCAAGAATATTGACATCACAAACTTCAGCAGCAGCTGGAACGATGGCCTGGCTTTCTGTGCAGTTCTCCACACTTATCTCCCAGCCCATATTCCCTATCAAGAACTGAACAGCCAGGACAAGGTAAGACATCAAAAATCCCATTCCCAGGACTGCAATGCTTTAGTTAACATGAGTTAATAAAGACCACTGAACTAATTTGAGTTCTAAAAACCCCAGTGTTACTAGAATTTCCAAATCATCTCTTTGTATTCTGGTCTGCCACTGGTTAGCCCAGGATGTACAATTTATGATAATAGATCCTAAAAGCAAAAAATTATTTCATTAATGCATGAAGAGTTTTTTTTTTTTATTTATGCTTTTCAGAGACTAAATAATCCCTTCTTTAGTATTTTATATCTCAGTTGTTCTTCACTGGCAATGATATTCAGCATTATCTTCTGAACAGGCAATTAATAAAATTTTTTATTAGTTTTTGGATGATATTAAAACACATTCATTCCTATGGCTCTTTTAAATTATTGTAGTCAATTTAGATACTCCATTTGAAGCTTAAGTAGTAGCATTATTATGAACATTCTTAAGACCATTTTGCTATATTTGAAATAGTATTTCTTTGTTTTCTAACATGTTTTCATATCCCATGCAGAGAAGAAATTTCACTTTGGCTTTTCAGGCAGCTGAAAGTGTTGGCATCAAATCCACTCTGGTAAGATTTAAATGTATATTGAATGAATTATGACCCATATATAAAAATCAAAATTACTCTATAGTCTCAAAAGATCTGGATGTTTATACTTAAAAATAGCAGCAGATGAGCTCAACTAGAGGTTACTGCACTAAATAATGACTGTAATGCA